CCGTCCCTCCTCCTAGAAAAGTTTGACTTTGTCATGACTGAGAGGGCCACCTGTGGAACCTGAGCCCAGTGTAAAATTGGGATGATATTCTCCGTGCCTGATTCACAGGATGGCGCGAAACACCAGCGCGGGGCCACGCACGCGGTCGGTGCCCACTGAGTAAGTTCCTGACCTTGGAGTGCCCAGAGGACAGCCCGTGCCCCGCTGCGGACATGATCAGGGCATTCTCGGTGACGGCCATCGCTGGGCTCAGGCGGGGCCAGGGACACGGCTGAGGGGGGCTCATTGGTCCTTACCCAGGGGACAGTTTGGAGGCTAGGGAGGGAGGTGACTGGGGGAGGACCTGGCTCAGGGTTGAGGTGAGCAAGGGGGGCTGTGCAGCTGGAGTGAGTGGGTCACAGGGGAGGGACAGCGGTCCGGGAGTTGGGCAGCCAGGGATTTGGGGGTATGGGCGGAGGAAGGCCAGGCACTTGGCAGGGCAACCTCCCCAGGGCAAGGACCTGCTTCCTGGAGAATCCACTGGGCAGGTTCTCTGCGTCTGCAGCAGGTGACTTGGGGTCCCCAGGGGCCTGTGTGGGGACAGGCTTCATGTGGCCCTGGAGACAGGACAGGAAGGCTCAAGGCCCAGAGAGGAATCGCAGGGGATTTAGCGGGGTGGGCTGGTTCAGGCAGGGTCAGGCCCAGGCCTCCGAGGGCCACAGGATGGGTTCAGGGCGCCCAGACCCGCTGGGCACACCCCGGGCTGGGGTTCGGTGGGTGGGAGCTTTGGGCCCCAGCTTGTCTCCAGGGGATCCAGAGCCCACAGGGAACCCAGCTGGGACTGGGAGGCTGGCTGGCAAGGCTACCAACTGACGCATGACAGGGTACAAGCCCCATACCTTCTGCTCTTGGCCAGGTTCCCTGAGCCGTGGAAGGTAAGCCGCTTCTGAACAGTTGGCCACAGCCACGGGAGTCCTGCTGACTTGGAGCGGGCAAGGCCTTCATTCCTAACCCACTTTCTTTGCACTCTCCACTTTCTTCAAAAGAAAGACCTTTGTTTCTTAAGGTCTCAGTAAAGCTCCTTCTGAGAAATTCCAACCTTGTCTCTGCGGACCCCAGAGAGAGGAATGCGGGTCAGCTCTGGCAGGAGAGCTCAGGGGACCTGAAGGGGAGGGACGTGCGTGCCGTGCCATGCCCACGCAGGCCACCGGCGCAGCCCTCTCCCTGCCCCCTTATTATGCCGATGTGCTGGTGCGGGGACCCACCAGGCCACCGGCTTTGGGGTGGGAGCCGGCACTCCGGCCTGGGCTGTTTGCAGGAGACGAGAGCTGCAAGGGGGCCTTGGGGGAGGCAAAGGCCTGGGGGCCTGGGGAGCGTGGTGACAGCTGAATTCTCTGTTACTGGGGGTCCCCCTAGTTTTTTGGTATGCTCCCCCCCCCCCATTCTCAGGCCACATCTCTCATCATCAACAACAGGGACAGCAGCAGCAGCAGCAGGAGCGACACAGAACACAAACAAGGGCTGAACGCCCGGCCCCGCCCGGCCCCCCTCGCTGCCGCCTCTGCCCGATCCCCTCTCCGGTGCACGCACGCTCGCTCTCTGTTCCTTGTCAAGGATGAGCCAGCAGACTCCTGGGGTTGTGACATCCCTAAAAATGGCAAAGTCAGGATGTGAACTTGACCTGGCTCACAACTTCACACTGTCCCTCTGGGGGACAACCCTTGGCTGGGACTAACCAGGGTCACCAGGACTGAGTGGCTGCCACATGCTGTTTTCCTTGTTACCGCCTTCCCCACCTGGGTGTCAGATCCCGCGCCCTGCCTCCTCCCTAGAGACCCACCCCTTGGGTAAAGGCCCAGTGCCGCTCTGCCTCTGCTACATGGGGTCACGGGGGACCAGAACCCCACTCCATCCCAGTCCAAGCAGATGCAGCACGGATTTGCCACAGACTGGACACAAGTGGAAAAGTCAGAGGGGCTCGTCCTTTCTGAGCTGGCGTCAGTGCCTGGCTGTGTCCTCCCTCCGCCACCTCCCTGGCTGGGAAGGAACCCCTCCTGGAGACTCTCTCAGCTGAGGGTCCCTGGGGAGTCAGGCCGCCAGGCCAGATCCAGACCTGAACTGAATGTGGTGCGGGAGGGACCCCGAGACCTGTGTCCCCCTGCGCGTCCTGGGACGCACAGTCACCGGGCTGACTGCTGGCACTCGGCTGGCCTGGATGTGAATTGACCCCTGATCACGCACAAGACTCCAGCCGCTGAACTTGGCCAGGCTCTCTGGAACCCAAGGTGCATCCAGGAGGGGAAACCATTTCTCAGCTTCTCTCCTGCTGGGCTCTGAGGGGGCGTGGCGTTCATTCAGCATTAACTGAGCACTTACTATGCACCTAACCCAATAGTGATAAAGAAGGGTGGGAGAGAGATACCTTCTCTGCCCTGTAGGAGCCCCGGCCAGTGGGGGGAGGCCGATCCAAGAACCACGGCCTCCTTGGGGCTGCAGCTGCACAGCAAGTCTCACAGATGGGGGTCTGGGTTAGGCTGTCTGACGGCGCAGGGGTCGGGGGAGGCGCAGCTCTGAAAACTGCCTGGGTGTCACTCCCGTCTCCACAGTTTGTGACATGTGGTGCCTTGGAACAGTGACCTGTCCCTTGGTTTCCTCATCTGTAAAACTAGGATCACACAGGTGCTAACCTTGGACGGTTGTTATGAGGACTCCATGGGCCAATACATGCAAAGTTCGTAAGGGGGTCTGGAACAGGGTAAGCATGTTGGGGCGGGGGATGGCAGTGACTGTGATTTCATTGTTGGTTTTTTTTTTTTTAGCAGTGAAACAAGCGCTTAAGTTTTTCTTCCTTTGGCTAGGCTCTTTCTGTTCTAGGTTTTTGGAGGATGTGGATGGTGTTTTTTTCCGCTCTCTGTCTTCCCAGGGACCCAATGTACAGCTAGTCACCCAAACATTTGGAAACTTACTATATTTTGCCATGTATAATGCACACTTTTTTGCCCAAATCTTTGAGGGGAAAAAGAAGGGTGCACATTATGCACGGGTAGTGCTAATTCCATATCTATTTAAATGTTTTTAATTCTTTTATTTATGCTTATGTATTAAAAGCATAACTCTAGAAAGCAATAACCATATCCGTATGCAACATAATACCCTGGAATATGATAATCGCTTTTGTTTCTAAATTTAAGTAAAAACATTGAATTGAAAGACTTTTTTCCTGAAAGTGTGGGCCAAAAACATGGACGTGCATTATACATGGCAAATTACGGTACTGACAGGTAGTGAGGCATCTTAGACTCCTTCTCTGCTCCTTACTCTCCCAAATCTATTCGGGTCCCAAGTGCCATAGATTCTAACGCCCAAACTTCTCTGGTGTCTATTCCAAATGCCCTTTCTGCCTGTCACCTGTGTCCCGGAGCCTGGTGGCTGCCTGCTCGCTGGTCTCCTTGCTGCTGGACCATAACTCTCCACCCTGCATTCGGAGCTGACCGCCCTTTGGAGGTGATCTGAGAGCACTGCTCTCCTGCTTGGCACCATTCCACGGTCCCTGTCACCTTCTCCTTAGCCTCCAAGCCAGAGCCTCCAAGCCAGGCCCTCCTGCTGTCCTCACCTCCCTGTCTGGAGGCCTCCGCGCCCCGCCACCTGCCCCTCTGAGCTTCCTCGGTCCCTTGCAGCCCCCTGACTGCTTTGTTCTCTTCCTGGTTCTGTGGCCGTGCACTTGGCCCCACACACGATTCCCTTCGCCCCCTCAGCCTGCTGCCCAACGCATCTCTCCTGCACACTCAGCGCAGGCCCACCTGGGTCCCCTTCCAGGCTGGTTGGATGTGTCCCTCCTCTGGGCTCCCTGAGCACTCTGAGTGTACAAGCTCACATCCGTTCACTCCACAAACACTTATTTTGCAGAGTGCCTCCTCTGTGCCAGGCACTGCGCCGGGGAAACAGCCACACTGCTGAAAGGCCCTGCTCCTTGGGCGGTAATCCAGGTGGCTTCTGCGTTCAGATCCTGAATCTGCCACTTACTGGCAGTGCGACCTTGCTCAAGCTCCTCAGCCTCTCTGTGCTTCGGTTTGCCCATTTGAAAAGTGGGCTTATAATACTGACTACCTGATAGAGTTGTCAGGAAGGTTGAAAGTGCTAATATTTATAAAACACTTAGTAAATGCTTTATATGCCACGAAATATTCACTAAGCAAGTGAAAGCAAGAATGGACTCAGAACATAGGGAGTTCTGGGTTCAGATTCTTCCATTCCCTGGTCCTAACTGTGTGTAATCCTGGGAAAGTCGCGGAAGCAGACTGAGCCCGAGTTTCCTCGTTTGTGAACTAGAGATACTAATAACACTTCTCTTGCTGAAATGCCACCTCCTGAGACTCCAGGAGCCCCCACACATAGTGTGCCCAGCACAGAACTGACACTGGGTAAAGACTTGGAAACCTAGTTCTCCTAATGAGGCAAAAGCAAGATCCTGCCCATGAGGAGCTCTCAGTCCCCCTAGGGGGAGTACAAACATTGACCTCTGCTCACTATGCAGGTGCCACCTCCTCCAAGAAGCCCCCCTCGCATTCTATGGCTCCTCCATCTTTGAATTGCCAGAGACCCTTTACCCCCACCTTGTGCCTCTAATGGGCTTTAGCTTTAAATTCCAATTACTGAAATTGACCAGCCGTGTGGCACCAGACGTTTCCTTCCCTTCTCCGGGGCTTAGTTTTTTTTGATCTGTAACAGGAGATAATATCATCTTCAGTAGAATATCGCTCTGGGAATCACATCGGGAGACAAAGTCTGCGAGGCACCCTAATGTGCCAGGCAGTTAGTCGATCCTCAGTAAAGGCCAGTTCCTGCCGTGGTCTCTGGCCTACCCCCTCCATTCAAGAGTCTGATTTAACTCTGTAACCCCCAGAATAGCACCCTGTCCCCATGGCCGAGGGACTCGGGGCCCGGCACGCTCCCTGCTCGTGAGTGCTGCAGGGTGTGGGGGGGTCGCTCTAAGGGGCGTGCAGGGCTGCCCCTGGGCATACCTCAGTCACAATGGAGTCCCCGGCGCTGATGTTGTAGGCCCAGCCATCCAGGCATGGCTCGGTGGCCCCCTGCGTTTCGTTGGGCAGGCTGGCGTTGGGCAGATACACAAAACGGAGGCACTGCTCGGGCTTCCCATTCAGGCCCATGGGGAGCACCCAGGACCCTGCGGAGGCGTTGCGGGGTGGACGACAGTGGTGGGCGGGGGTAATCGCCGTGAAGATCTGTAGCAGGTTGTGGTTTGCCATGCCGAGGATTGGGAGGCCTAGCAGGACCAGGATGATGCACTGGAAGGGGCCCTGGCTGTTCACGCTGTCCACGATCTTGGAGAAGGTCATGGCTCCGAGGAAGAGGGGCCAGAGCTGCGGGCGAGGCACCGGCATGGGGAGAGGCACGTGTGTGCATGCGTGCCCAGTGGGCGCGCACGTCGACGGGTGTGGGAGTGCAAGTGGGAGGGCGTGTCCAGGCGTGTGTGTGAGCGCCCGTGGGCGCAACGTTGTGTGTCTATCAATGAGTGAGGATGTGAGGGCTCAGCTGTGTGTATCCCCAGATTTACAGGTGGTTGCACGAGGATGTACCCAAACCACATATAGATGTGGGGTCACCGGTGTGCATCCACAGGGGTCTACAAGGATGTGTATATTTAGGCTGGAGCTGAGGGCACAGCTGCGTGAGCTTGGGCCTGTGGTTGTGTGTGTGTGTGTGTGTGTGTGGACTTGGGGGCATGAGTACATGTGTACTCAGCCAGGCTGGTCACATGAGCTGTGTGCATGGTGCAGTGCTGGTCACACAGCTGAGACCTAAGAGCCGAGCCTTGCACATTGGCCATACAAGATGGATAGTGTATGTTGGTGGAGGAAGGCCCCGGTTGCCCCGAGATGTACAGGGTCACCTCAGCTTGCCTGCTGGGAAAGGCCTCCCCAAGCCCAGAGCCTCCTGGCTTTTGACTGTCTCCTGGGGTTAGGCCCACTCTGCTGGGGTAGCAGGAAGGGCCCAGGCAGGTCCCAGAGGGCATAAGGGACTTGGCCAGTCGCAGTGAGGGGCAGGGCCTCGCTTTGGGAGTTCCCCAGGGATTGCTGGGGGCCAGGCGGGGCCTGGGGGGCCGCCATCCCTCCTCACCTGGTGGCTGGGCCTGGCTCCCACCGGCGGGGCTGGTGGTCGATGCGGCTGAAGCCTTGCTCTGTCCCAGGGTCCAGCAGCTGCTATTGTTGGGCAGCTCAGCTCCAACAAGCTGTGTTTGTGCCTTCCCCAGGAGGGGGCTTATATAAGGCATAAGCTGTTTCCCGGGTTAATGTTTGACTTTCTTCTGAGGATTAAGAGCCGTCCCGGCAGGGAGAGCACTGTGAACCCACCAAGCCTAGCTGCTCTCCAAAGGCTGCCGCAGCAAACGCTGAGCTGCCTGTGCGGCTGGACCTAGTAGGGCTGCTGGCTGGTGCAGGCAGGCTCCCCTAAGGGAAGAGGGGTCTAGGAGGGGGTGTGACTGAGTCCTGAGGACTGATAGCTGACAATAGCCAGAGAGAGGTGTGCTGTCCTGAACAGACAACATTCTCCAGGGTCCCGACTTCCCTGCCTGTGGCCTCTCGAGAAGGGGCCTGGAGACTTGCCTCCCCGGAAACAGCTGGGCACGTCCAGGAAGAAACAGCCACATGCCCCTGTTCCCAAGGGCTCAGGACTGTCATTCCCTGGGCCCCTGGCATAGCCAGGGCTCCCCCGTCGGAGTCTCAGACCCCAGAGGCTCAGCCCACGCCCCGTCCCAGCCCGCTCTCCTCAGACAGGCTCCTCTCGGGACCAACTGCTTCCCGCTGGGGGCAAACCGCAGCCTCCATTGTTTTGTTTCTCTGAATATTATTTTAATTATATAATATGGTGTTTCATGCATAAAATATAGGAAATGCAAACAAGCCAAACAAAACAAAACATCCAGCCTCACGTAGAGCCAACTCCAGAGTGTTCTGATGTATGTTCTTCTGGCCCTTTGCGCATCCGGGACCAGCAACCAGCAGGAGGCTCACGTGAGCCCCACAGCAGCCCTGCCACCCTGCGGGCATCATAAATCGGGAAACGGGGCACAGAGAGGTTAAGAAGCTTGCCCTCCGTCTCCCAGCCAGGAAGTGGCAGGGCAGGGGCAGTGTGGCCCTAAGCTCCCTCTTGTCCCTTAATGCCAACGTTTTCTAAAAAGCCTAGGGGCCCTGTACTGTTTCTCTCTCCCCAGTCACCCAGCCTGGACTTCAACAGCACCGCCACCTCTCTGCTTCTTACCTGCAGAGATTCCCGGGAGCGGCCCCGCCCCACCTGCTCTGCGAGCCAAGGCAGGGCCCACCTAGGGACCCCCTTCCTGGTTAAGGAGGGGCTTGCCATCCCCGCCCCCCTTCGCCACCCAGGCAGTGTCCAGCTCCCGGGGCTCCAGCTGGGCTTCTCCCCCAAAGCCTCCTCCCCACCCCCGCTCCACCCCATGCCCAGGGCAGTGTCAGCTGGTAACCCAGGTCCGGCGCCTCCTCTGGGCTCCCACCTGGGCTCAGCAGTGATTGATGTTTTTCTGAGTGGCCCCAGGCAGAGCGAGATCTGAGATCCGAGTCATCAAAGAAAGATTCAATTATGCTCTGGGGGAGCCAAGGGGTTGTTTTAGGAAGGTTTTCAACTGTGAGGCCTGTGGGAAGCTGGGCCGTTGCCCCAAGCACCCCCTGTCCTGGGCGTTCACCCTCTGCAGGGTTTTCTGGTTCCTTCTTGGGCCTGGGTTACCCGTCTGTTTCTGTCCGAGTGGAACGTTGTCTGAAAGGCACCTGGTGGCTTCCCACTGCGGCTGCTGGAGGACAGCCACACAGGAGGTGTTCAGGGGGCAGGTCCCCCGCCGCCCCACCCCCAGGGGATGTGCTTGGACTCATCTATTTGAACCGAGGCTTCCATTAACCGGGCCCCCGGGGATGGGTCCAGGCACCTGCTGGATGACCTTGGGCAGATCACCTCCTCTGGGCTTCTTGTTTCTCTTCATTAGTTAAGTGGCTTAAAAAAACCCCCACCAGAAATCATTTATTCAAACCATATATTGTGTTCATAAGATCAATGTATAAAGCAGATACCAGAGGAGATGGTTTGGCTAAAGTGGGGGAGGGGTGGAGAGAAATTGCCGCCCCCCGCCTCCCGCCCCCCTCACCAACCCCCTGCCCCCAGCTCATCCTTTGCTGTGGCGCCTGCCCCCTCAGGCCGGCCCTGCCTGTGGCACCTCCATTACATCAGAGGACCCATCCCTTCCTCCGCGCTGTGATCCTAAACTCAACAGGCTGAAATGAACCTTTATTTTTAAAGAAATGATGCATTTGGGAAATCTTTTGTGATCAATGTACTTTTAATTTGGGACTTGATCATCGATCTTCTTTCTCCTTCCCTCCCTCCTTTTCTTCCACCCCCTCCTTTTTTTCTTTCTTTTCTCTCTTCCTTTCACCTGTTGTCTGAACCCTTCCAGAGTTTCCTTTCAGCTGAACTAGGTTCGGTCACTTTCCCCTGCTCTCGACTGGGTCCCAGCACCAATGTGTGTTCTGAGCTGAAGGGCCCAAGGAGTCATCCAGCCCAATATCCTCATCTTATGTGCAGGGCGCCCGGAGCTCAGCGAGGGAGCGTGACACAGCTCGCTCCCAGCTGCCACTGTATGGGGTTGGCCAAGAAGTCCATTCTGTTTTTTTTCCATAAAATAAAAGACAAATTCTTCATTTTCACCAACACCTTTGATTTGGATATTTTGAGGTTGCCGGCTATCTCCCCCGTGGCATGACTTTGGTTGTTCTCAGTTAATGTCTCGATTTGATTGCCGTCAACTTCAATTGGCCTACCCGACCATGGAGCATGGTCCAGCGAGAAATCTCCAGCACAAAGCTTTACAAACCACTTCTGACACGTTCGGTCAGTTCACAGCACCTTCTCCATACACTGCACAAATTGTTACCTGTGTTTCAGTTGCATTTTTACCTTTGTTGGAATAATAAAGCATAACATGCTGGAAATGTTGAGTATTTTCTTCCATCTTTAATATTAAAATGGCTGCACAAAAAATCACCAATTTTGACAAGATTTTTTTTTTTAATGCACGCTGATATGACAGCTGTTGCAATATAGTTTAACAAACCTGTTTCATATAAAGTTAAAGACAACTACGCCCTACTTAGAGGCATTGTACGGAAAAAACCAAATGAATTTTCTGGCCAGCCCGAAGCCTGCACACGTTGCAGTCTTTCTAAATCTTGAATTCATTGAGAGGCTCTCGCAAGTGAAATGGGGAAATCTTATTCCCCAGGAGCCATGTGGGGGGTCTGGTTTTCTGGCCAATTACAGGGATCACACTGAACGTTCTGTGGGCCACCCACCCTCCTACCCACTCATCTGTCCGCCTGTTCATCTGTTTACCTGTTCATCTCTCCATCCATCCGTCTGGTAAGCCTCATGCCTTGCATGCCTAAGGACCCATGCTCAGCGCCACGGTGCCCGCCCTCCCTACCTTCGCTCTGCCTGCCAGGGATGGCAGCCCAGAGCCAATCACAGCACAGAGGAGACTCACCTCAGGGCCTCAGGGGAGGCGCACAGTTCCGGCTGCCTTGGGAGAGAGAGGGAATAACCAGGTGTGAGGAACCAAATCAGAGTCAGTGGGGCAGGCACTGGGCGCTGATGACTGCGGGGGGTCAGCAGGTGGAACTGGAGGAGGAAACTGCAGACCTGGGCACGTGAGTGCAAGGCACGGTGGGAAAATGGGAGGTACATTGGATGACAGCATGGGGGGCACCTCTTGTCCCAGCACGGGGGTGACCTAGGTCTCAGGGGCTGGGACATCGCTGTGGCAGTCTCAGGGGGGCTGATGATTACCCCGGGCTTCTCGGTTCCCCTGTGGGTGGGGGTGTGAAGCTCCTGCGGCTGCGGCTGCACCGCGGGGGCCGGCTCAGTGGTGCCCGCGCTCGCTTTGTGCGGAGTCTGGTCTCTGCGATGCCCTCAAGGCCCCATCCCCCAGAGGGGCCATCGGAACCGCCCAGGTGTCTCTGCCGCCGCCTGCCTGCTCGCCACCCCCTCACGGGGTCAAGGCAGACCCGTAGCCTGTGCGGGGCCCTGTCCTGCTGCTGAGACCATGGTCCCAGGTGGGGACGGCGAGGTGGCCAGCACGCTCCTGATGGCCATTCCTCCCTGGTGGCCACTCCAAAGCCTGAAGCCTTCATCCCTGGTTTAGGGACCCCAGATTCAGCCCCTGCCCTTGGCAGCTCCAACAGGAGAGGTGGCCTGTGTGGGTGGCTTCAGGCTGCACCTGAGCAAGAGACTGCCCTCCCCTCTCCGTGGGCTGAATCTGAACCCCCCTTCCCCCCCCGGGGAACAAGGCAGTCCAGGGAAGAGGGGCTCTGCAGGCCTGGGTTTGAATCCTGACTCCTCCACTTGCTAGTTGTGTGGCCTTGGGCAGGTGACGCCACCCATTTAACCTCGGTTTCCCCACTTATAACATGGGGATTAATACCTACCTTATAGGATTGTTGGGGTTTTAAATAAAGTATATAAAGCCCTGAACACCATGCCAAGCACATGGTACTTAACTAGGGGTCAGCCTGAGGCCTCAGGCCTCGGGAAGGCTGAGCAGCCCTGGAGGAAGAGGGGGAAGAGGAAGAAGAGAAGGTTGCTGGGAGAAGGGAGGGCGGGGGGGATGCCGTTTGGCTCCTGGGTCATGGGCTGGAAGGGCTCCAAGGTGGGTGCATGGGCTCTCGAGCTTACCTTGGGCGCCTGGACTACGTCCAGGCCCAGCCAATCACTGCAGAACCAATCTCTTGACCAGACAGATTGGGCCTCAGGTGTCACCTCAATTGGAAAAGGGACACAAAGACCGTTCCGGGACCCAGGGCAACTGAGGGACTGCACTTTAGCAACAGGAGCCAGGCAGCCCCGAGCCCCGGAACGGTGCTCCCACGCAGCTCTGAGGGACCAGCAGAGAGAGAGAGAGAGTCTCCCCCTGCTGGTGCACAGCAGGAACTGTACCTCTTGCCTGGACGGAGAGAGCGAGTTTTTGAGCCCTCGGGCTACCTGAGCCCGGAGAAGAGAATGGATTTCCGTGGACCTGGGAACCCCATGTACTGACAACTGCCATGAGAACCTTGGTCTGACTCTCTTAGCTGCAGGCTGATGGGACAGATGCCACTGTTTCCTTGTCCCCAGCATGGCTTTCTGCCCATCAAATGTCTTAAACCAGGGTTGGCT